CCCGGGGCCTGAGCCAGAGCCGCCGGGGCCTGAGGTGTTCGGGCCGGCGCCCCGCGGCCTGAGCCAGAGCCGCCGGGGCCCGAGATGTTCGGGCCGGGCCAGCGCCCCGGGGCCCGAGCCGGGGCCGGGGGTGCTCGGCCGGGGCCGGAGCCGTGGGGCCCTGCTGGGGGCGCTCGGCCGGAACTGGGGCCAATGCCCTGGGCCGGAGCCATAGCCGCTTGGCTGGAACCGGGGCCGCTGCCCCGGGGCCCGAGCTGGGCCGGAGCCAGAGCCGCTAGGCCGGGGCCGGGCTGGCGCCCCGGGGCCCGTGCTGGGCTGGAGCCAGAGCCGCTGGGGCCAGGGGTGCTCGGCCAGGGCTGGACTGGGCCGCGCCGTGCCTCCCCTCCCCGGAGCCCTCCTCGCGACCCCCCCCCCCCGCCTTCCCTTTTGCTGCCCCCGCCTGCCCCTGCTTCTTTTCAGGCTTCCCGCGAACATCTGATTCGCGGGAAGCAGGGGACGGGGAGGAACAGGGGGCGGAGCGTTCAGGAGAGGGGAGGAGGGGGAAGTGAGCTGGGGGCGGGGTGGACAGCTGCGGGGCCCTCTTAGGCGCGGGGCCCAATTCAGCCGAATCGGCTGAATCAGCCTAAAGCCGGCCCTGCAGGCACCAGCGCAGCAAGCAGGTGCTTGGGGCGGCCAATGGAAAGGGGTGGCATGTATGGCTCTTTGGCGGCAGGTCCCTCAGTCCATTGGAGGGAAGGGCCTGCCGCCGAATTGTCGCCGAAGAATGAAGCGGCAGCGGTGGAGCTGCCACCGAAGTGCCACCGATCGTGGCTTCCCCCCCACCCCCGCCACTTGGGGTGGCAAAAACGCTGGAGCCAGCCCTGGATAAGCAGTAATATTGCACAAAAAAGCATGTTTAGATTAAAACAATATTCTGAAAGAAAATTCAGCAAAGCAACCTCCATAATACACTAGTCACCCTACAGTTAATGCAGGATCTCAAAAAGAGCATGAGAAGTAATGTCATAAACAAAATATGAAAACAAAAAACAGTCACACCATTTTACTTAGGGCCAGATTTTTAAAAGTATTTAGGCCTAATAACTTAAAAAAAAAAAAAAAAAAAAATCTAGCCTTAAAACACTATGGCCTTGTCTACACTGGCAAGTTTCTGCGCAGTAAAGCAGCTTTTTGCATTGTAACTCCTGAGGTGTACACACTGCCACGCCACTTAGTGTGCAGAAAATGCGCAGTGGCAGCGCTGTAAAAAAGCCGCCCCAATGAGAGGCGTACAGCTTTCGGCACTGTGGCTACAGTGCCACGGTTCCAGTGTAGACACCCTGGTCGATTACAGTACTGCGATTGGCCTCTGGGAGGTGTCCCACAATGCCTGTTCTCACCTCTCTGGTCATTAGTTTGAACTCTACTGCCCTGCCCTCAGGTGACCAACCATGAGCTCTGCCCCTTAAATTCCTTGAGAATTTTGAAAGTCCCCTTCTTGTTGGCTTGGTGACGTGTGCAGTGGTCTCAGCCCATCTTTCCAGGTGATCATGCCTGCTCCACGCACCAGGTGATCCCCCGCTTGGAGCAATGCCGAGCTGTTGGACCTTATCAGCATTTGGGGAGAGGAGGCTGTCCAGTCCCAGCTGCGCTCCAGACGTAAGAATTATGATACCTACGGACAGATTTCACGATGCATGACAGAAAGGAGCCTTGGGCGGGATACACTGCAGTACAGGGTCAAAGTGAAGGAATTGCGGAACGCCAACCACAAGGCGCAGGAGGCAAACTGCCACGCCGGTGCTGCACCCACGAGCTGCCGGTTCTACAAAGTGCTGGACGTGATACTCGGTGGTGACCCCACCTCCACTGTGAAGGCCACTATAGATACTTCAGTGACTCATGTGCAAGTCGAGAGTGGACCGAGCCAAGAGGAGGAAATCTTGGAACGAGGATGTGGAGGTGGGAGAGGGACCCAGAGGCAGAGGATGACTTGGAGGTCAGAGATGCATGCAGCCAGGAGCTCTTCTCTACCCCGGAGGAGGCTAGCCAGTCACAGCTGTCGAATCTTGGCGAAGCACAAACAGGAGAGGAGGCACCTGGTAAGTGGCTTTGATTTTGGGAATTACTGAAGTGAGTTGTTGGGGGCAGGAGGGTTGCAGAAAGCAGGCTTGTGTCTGTATGATGCGCGTACCACCACATGCCTAGTCTGAGAGGCGGAAAAGGGTGTTGATTGACTCCCTCACTTCACAGGAATCTGCCTCATGAAGATACTGGGCAATCCGCTGCTGCAGGTTCTTTGGCAGAGCTGCTTTGTTTCTTGCCCCATTAAGGGTAATTTTCCCATGCCACTCTGCCATCATGGGGTGGGGGGAGGGAGGGGGACATTGCTGCACACAGGCGAGCTGCATAAGGGCCAGGGCGGAAGTCGCAGTCTTGGAGAAGACCCTCCCTTGATTCCCTGCTCACCCTCAGCAGTGAGATATCTTCCATAATAAACACAGCCTGTGGAAAATGTGGGGACAGGAATGATTATAAGGCCCCCCCTACAGTGCTGGCTCTCCCCAAGAGCCACGTGCTCAGTGTACAGTACAGTCCTCGAACACTGATTTACCCAGCCCCTGCGATTACTCACCATTTTGGGGGTCTTGTGGCTCATGTGTGCTTGCCTGGGGTCAGCCAGTTAGTGAGAGGTATGTGAATAGTGGCTGTGTTTTAAATCACCGAATCAGTGGTCTGTGTGTTGCAAACAATACTGCTTCTGTAAAATGTTGCATTTTGACTTCACAGATATGACCGTGGGAGCCCAGCCTCCCTCTTTATTATTGCCAGCTGAACGGCTGAGCAGAATTAGAAAGTGGCCATGAAGAACTGAAGAGGACTTTCTGGATGATGTCATGATGCATTCCGCAGCCGAAGAACAACTGAAGGAGTGGTAGGACAGCGAGAAGAGGGACCAAAAGGAGAATGCAGCACACCAAAACGAAGTCACAAAGCAGCTTTTAAACGTTATGAAGCACCAAGCAGACACGCTCTAAGTGCTACTAGCACTGCAAATCAAGCATCTCTGCGCCCACTCTCCCCTGCAGCTGCTGTCGCAAAACTCTTTCCCACGCGCACCCCAGACACCGCCAACACACTCTTATCAACCTCCTGGCTCCAGTCTGTACCTGCTGCATTCCACTCCTGCCTCATCACAGTCCAGCACTGCAGATTCCCAGTACCCACTGCACTCAACACCCACCCCTTTGCAATTTAGCCCTGCTGAAGTACAGTACCTGAGGCACTGTACTCCAAAGGAGAAGGTTGGATATGATACCTGGACATACACAAATCTTTAACCGTCCCAGGACCCTACCTTCCCCCTCAGTGCTGATGTTTTTTTTGTTTGTCTCTCTCAAGTTGTTGTTTTTTAATAAAAGAACTGTTTTGGTTTGAAAGCAATCTTTATTTTATTAATTGAAAGCAGAGCTCTGCAAATCAACAGAAAATTTTCTTAAACCTTCATAGTGCATCGTCTGCACCAATCACAATCACCTCCTAGCATTACAAGCACTGCACTCCCAAGCATAGCAACAAATATTAGTGGCTTTAAGCTTCAAATTGCTGCCTCATGGCATCCCTAATCCTTATGGCCCCGCGCCGCACTGCACTCCTCTAATAGCCCTGGTCTCTGGCTGTTCAAATTCAGCCTCAGCGGTCCAGCCTTGAGTGAAGCTTTCACCCTTCCCTTCACAAATATTATGGGGCGTACAGCATGTGGCTATAAGCATAGGAATATTGTCATCAGCCAGGTCCAGCCTCCCATATAGGCAGTGACATCGGGCCTTTAAAAGGCCAAAAGCACACTCAACAGTCATTCTGTACTTGCTTAGCCTGTTGTAAAACTGTTCCTTGCTGCTGTCAAGGTGACCTGTGTACGGCTTCATAAGCCACGACATTAAGGAATAGGTAGGGTGTCCCAGGATCCTAATGGGCATTTCGACTTCCCCTACAGCGATCTTCTGGTCCAGGAAGGAAGTCCCTGAACAGCTTCCTGAACAGGCCAGTGTTCCAAAAGATGCGTGTGTCATGCACCTTTCCAGACCAGCCTACGTTAATGTCTGTGAAACTCCCACGGTGATCCACAAGCGCCTGGAGAGCCATAGAGAAATACCCCTTCCGATTAATGTACTAGGTGACTAGGTGGTCTGGTGCCAGAATTGGAATATGCATGCCATGAGGGGGGGGTCCAGAGGGGAGTCTGCAGCTAGGGAAGCCCATTTGTGCAAAGCCATCCACAATGTCACGCACGTTGCCCAGAGTCACGGTCTTTCGGAGCAGGATACGATTAATGGCCTTGCACACTTCTGTCAACAAGAAGACAACGGTCGACTTTCCCACTCCGAACTGGTTAGCGACTGATTGGTAGCAGTCTGGAGTAGCCAGCTTCCACCGTGCAATCGCCACGCGCTTTTCCAACGGCAGGGTAGCTCTCATTCTCGTGTCCTTGCACTGCAGGACTGTGGTGAGCTCATCACACAGTCCCATGAATGTGGTTTTCCTCATCCGAAAGTTCTGCAGCCACTGCTAGTCATCCCAGACATGCATGACGATGTGATCCCACCACTCAGTGCTTATTTCCTGAACCCAAAAGCGGCGTTCCACTGTGATCAGCACCTCCGTGAATGCCACAAGCAATCTTGTGTCGTAGCTACTACGCATGGCGAGATCAATGTCAAACTCCTCTTGCCTTTGTAGTTTAAGGAATAACTCCACTGCCACTCGTGACGTGTTAGTGAGAACAAGCAGCATATTGGTCAACAGTGCGGGATCCATTCCTGCAGACCAAAGAGGCAGAGCAGAGCGCGCAGTACACAAACCGTTGAAAGATGGCGCCAAATGCGGACGGAAGGGATTGCTGGGATGCGAAGCAATGCATCATGAGGCATTGGGACAGGACCCAGGATGCCCCACGACCCCCTCCACCTTCCGACAACTCAGCAAAAGAGGAAGAGATGCTCTGTGGGATAGCTGCTCAGAGTGCACCACTCCAAATACTGCTGCAAGTGCCGCAAGTGTGAACATGCTATTGTGCAGGCAGCTGACACTGTGAACACACTGCAGTGGTTTCCCTTCAGTGTTCTCTGAGCGGCACTGTAACTCTGCCAGTGTAGACATACCCTATGTGACAGCAGCGTGATTATCATTATATAATATTAGGCACATTATCTCAGCATTTCCAAATATCACTGACTTGGGTGGAGAGGAGAAAGACACACACACACAAAGCATCAAGCTTCTGTCTCCTTTGTGGCAATGCAGACCACGACCACAAGATCAGCCATAACAATATCAAAATTAAGACAACCTAACTTTAACAACTGGAAATTTTATGACCAACCAAAAGTCAATTTAGCATTTAAAAAGCATATTTACATGTATGAAATGTCCCTGCATATAATAATATTAAAAAGACAAATGAAACCCAGATAACTTACCAATTTTAAGTCTCCACAGCTGTTGGCAATGCAGCTTTCTTCAACCAACTCATTCACTTTTTTTTCTAACTGTCTAATCTTTTCTTCTGGACTAAAATTGGGTAAATAATGGATCATTTGTCTTATGCAAATACCAGTAATAATATAAAGATTTTTGAATATAGTGTATTAAAAATAATGTATTATAGCTGTCTTGGGTCTCATTAACATGCCATAGCATCTGACATTTCTTAATGGACAATACAACTGTAAAAGTGGCCCTTTGTTACTGCACTATCAGAAGTTCTATCAATAATGTAAGCTAGTGAAGAAAAAGAGAAGATCCTGCAGTTTTACCATGTTCAGCGAGCGATCCATTTAATGACAGAAAAGAGGTTTGGGTTATTGGGCTCTGATCCTCTTAATGTAACAAGCCTCAACTTGAGCTGTTTGGGTAAAGATAGTATAGATACATGCATTGGGTGAAACTTTCAAGAACCCACTGGAAATCCAATAATGCATATGTACTATTTTAAAGAGCTAGTTTAATCAAAAGTAGAAATTCAATTTGTAATGATAATTTTTTAAACAGTGTCAGCACAACTTTTCATCAAAATTACAGATTTTAGCAAAAGCTGTGATTGATCCAGAATTATTTAATCTGTGACAAAAAATTAGCTGCATAATAATCTGATTATTTCCCTTCTTTCTCCACTTGCAGCATGTCCCACTACCCCTGGCGTTCAGGAAGCCCAATGGCCCTGCATGAATCCCTCCTCCCCAATCTGTTTTGTGCCAAGTCTCTTGCACCATCCAACATTTACACTAGACTAGTAACATTCACCACCTCAGTTCTGGCATATGTGAAGTCTGTTTGGGTTACGAGATCCTGGAAAGAAGGAACAGAGGGAAGAAGTGGTAACATTTCCTGTGTCTTTCCTAGTGGGAAGATAACAGGAATTTCAGGGTATCAGTCTACAAGCACCACTAGCATCCCTTGCCAAGCAAGTACTCTTCCAGTCCTCTAACGGATCTGATCCTCTTCTGTACCACAGCACTCAGTGATGACAAAGGCCACACCTATATTCAGAATCCCGAACCACGGACAGAGCACAAAATACAAGAGTGGGGTGGGAGGAAAGCTAGTTTTTTTTTTTAAACCACCAGAGGCTCTATTCTCTTTCTGCAGGATATGAACAACCATGACTTCAACAGGAATCACACTTAAACCCCAAGCCTGCAAAAACCTAAGGACACACTTAACTTTAGTACCGTAAGTAGTTTCATTGAAATCAATGGTACTATTTATGGTGGTATCACATTGGTCCAATATTATTTAATATTTTTATCAACAATCTAGACGATTCCATAAAATCTTTTGTGGTAAAGTCTACAGATGACACAGATTGCTGGGGTAGTAAATAATAAAAGGGATAGGTTACTGTTACAGAATAATCTGAATTACTTGGTTACCTTGGAATCTGTGAATTCCCCGGGTCATCCCCTTCCTACATGGGCCATGGAAAGAATAGGATCCCTGCATTGCCCTGAGCGTGCTCTTAATCAAGGGTGGGCAAACTACGGCCTGCGGGCCGGATCTGGCTCGTCAGGGCTTTGGATCCAGCCCACGGGATTGCCACCCCACCCCTGTGGCACAGCAAGGCTAAGGCAGGCTCCCTGCCTGTCCTGGCCCCGCGCTGCTCTCGGAAGCAGCCAGCACCACATCCCTGCAGCCCCTAGGGGAGGTGGGGGCAGAGGGCTCCACACGCTACCCTCACCTGCAGGCACACCCCCCCGCAGCTCCCATTGGCCAGGAACGAGGAACCGCAAGGGCTGCGCATGGAGCCCTCTGCCCACTCCCCAGGGGCCGCAGGGACTTGGTGCCAGCCACTTCCGGGAGCTGTGCGGGGCCAGGGCAGGCAGAGAGCCTGCCTTAGCCCCACTGCGCGCCGCTGCCACCCCGGAGCCACTCAAGGTACGACGCACCGGGCTGGAGGCCGCACCCCGAACCACTCCTGCACCCTAACCTCCTGCCCTGAGCCCCCTCCCACACTCCACACCTCTCCCTGCACCCCCTTTTGTCCTGAGCCCCTTCCTGCACACCGCACCCCCTCCCACACACACCGCACTCCTTCCCGCACCCCAACTGCCTGCCCCAGCCCTACATTCATGGCCCTGCATGCAATTTCCCCACCCAGATGTGGCCCTTGGGCCAAAAAGTTTGCCCACCCCTGCTCTTAATACTTGCTGCTCCACATTAGGACAATGAAAATAATCAAATCCCATGTTTCAGGACGTCAGCTGGTCACCTGCAGGGAACAGGAAGGAATCTCCTGACCTGATGCACTACTGGTCAAATGTATTCTTAGGGTGGGGATGGGGTTCACTTTCCTCTGAACCATCAGAGATTGGACCAGTGCTCTGAGATGGTACAGAAAATCATCTTAGATGCCTGGCTGGAGTTTCTTGCTGACATACTTAGGGTCAAACTGATGGCTAGATTTTGGATTGGGATGGAATTTTTCCCCCTAGGTAAGACTGGCAGGAAACTTAGGGGGTTTTCACCTTTCTCCGTAGCATGGAGCGTGGATCGCCTGCTACGATTACCTGGGCATAATCAATTCCCTGCCACTGCAGGGGCCTCAGGCATTGGCAGCACCTTGGTCTCTCTTGTTCTTTGCCTGGGGTACATAACAGTTTAGCTTCCCAAGGACCGAAATACTTTAGTCGATCTAAAATAACTAGACTGAACATAAGGATATCTGGTTGACAATTAATAGGGAAGACAGCGTAGATGATCTAATGGTCCCTTCTGGCCTTGAACTCTATGAAATCTAGTAAAGTTAAGCTTGAGCATGTTTGCAGGATCTGGGCCTCTTCCTGCAGAAAGAGAATCTGGTCCCTAGGCTTCCTGAGTACCATGTTGTTGTGATTTTTTTAAGAACACTGAAAGCATTTGTTGCAAAACAGAACAACAAAAATGTGGCTACATACGTATCTTCATTTTTCATTTCTAAAGGAGGAGCAGGACCTCTTGCTTGACCAAGGGGATCAAATACAGAACCTGCAAATTAACACATGGCACTGAAAACAGTAAATTCTATGACAGACAGTGAATTCCATGACAGACAGTGAATTCTATCCATCCTACCTCTCAAAGCTGCTTTAGTGTAACCTGCTGCATGAACTGCTGTCAGAGGTCGAGCAACTCCATCCTTAAATTAAAAGAAAAAGACATGTTTATAATTGAAAATATTCTGAAAACCAAAAATGGGGAAAAAGCAGGGGGATAAGTTACATATTGGAACATAAGTTGGAAGCATGCTTTACGGTTGATACAGACCGACCTAGCATTAGTAAGCCCCGTTTATGCTGACCAGTGTCTTTCACAACCCTTAGGTATATTATAACAGACTCTACAGTAGCAAAATACATAACTGAATTATTTCTAAGTAATAAAAGTTACAAACAAACTGTTTTATTCACATATCTTATTCCAAATGCCTTTTTACATAGATAACCCTAATCCTTTTTGTTTTTGTTGCCGATTATTTTAACATATGCCATATAATTGTCTCTGATTTTTAAAATATTCTTCTTAAGGGCTGGCCTGTTAAACTAGTGGCTCTGTAATGTGCTGTCACATGCTGCCACATTGAGTGTCAGAGTTCTTTTTTTCCTGGGCAACAAGGATTGAGAGCCATGAGAAATTATGGGTCAGATTGAGCAGAATTGGACAAGACAAAGAGGCACAAGCGTCTAGAAACCAGCTGTAATTCAGTAGCTGAGAAATCCCCAAGCTTGGGAGAGTTCACAGCTGGCAAAGAAACAGCATATCCACCTCCTGGAACATTTGCATGAAAAAGAGAACGTTCACAGTATAACTTCAGCATACTGAGCCCACACTCAAAGTAAATAATAAAATATTACCTGTATAGCTCCTGTCATTGGTCTTCCCATTGATGACGATAATGCGGTCTTTGACTACCAAAATAAAAAAAGATTAAAATTAAGAATCATAAGCTCTTTTTCTACTTTAGAAGTTTAGAACCAAAACTATAAATACTTAAATATGTAGTCGTTTCTGTCTCATGAATGTACAACTTTAGGATATGATCCTGCTCCCCTTCAAATCAATAGCAAAACTCCCATTGACTTCATTGAGTCAGGATATGCTTCTATTGTAGGGCATAAATATTATGAAGGTACATGGTAGCAACTCCATAGTTATGGTTGAGTTATAAAATAGATTTAAAATTTAAATAAATTCCTGTTTTTCTCTAGAAGTAAGAGACAAGCCTTGTAAAATTTCACAGATTTTACGCCCTTTGAATTTTCTGTATATTTTTTGTTTAGTCTCTGTTCACCAGTTTTTAATGGGCTCTGGTTGAAATTTGTCCATGGCAGTTGTACATTTCATTATTAACTTTTTTTTAATTGTCAATCAACACAAAAATTAGTAGAGAGGTGCATCCTGATAGACCTGGTACAATAGGTAGTTTTTATTTTTTAATTAGATTTAGGAGGACTTTGGCTGTTGTTCATGTTATAACTGTAAGTTATATGCTTTGTACCTAAACTAGAGATGTAAATATTGTTTAAAAAGTTAACCATTTAAACGATTAAAATTCTATTGGTTAAAGGGTTAATCAATTAAAGGGGGGAGGAGCTGGGGTTGTTCTGGCCATTGAGCCAGCCATGGGGCTGGGGTCAGCTGAGGGCCAGTTAACCAGTTAACATTTTATATCCCTAACCTAAACCTGATAAAATGGGGCCAGGTGCCCATAAAAGCTTCTTCACTGTGAGCTATGCTTTTCTGTCAGATTTTAGCCTACAACAGAGAAGATATATAAGGGTTAATTTGCAACAGCTAATTAATGATATGTTCTCCATCAGCAGATACACTTCTACCCCCTTCCCTGCCACTTAAGCATCATTTATAAACAGTAACGGCTGCTGCATGCATAACACACGACAGCAAGTGAATGAAAAGTTAAGCCACCTAACAGTAAAGTTCATCTACTTCTCCACCCACAGGCCCTCACCTTACTGTTGTGATAACTACTGTATACCGTAGACCATGCAAAACAGTTTAAACTCTGTCCCACTAGAGATTCTTTCTGAATAAGATATTTAAGATACATCCTTTCCTATCTAGCCACACAGTTAAAACTTGTACTCTCACTATATTGCATCTTGATTACTGCATCATTCTTCTTTCTGGTCTTAACAAATGCAATCTTGCCCCGCTCATATCTATTCATAATACTGCAGCAAAGATCATTTTTCCAAGCCCACTGCTTTGACCATGTCACTTTCAAGGCCTTTCATGACACATCTCCCGTGCTACCTATCATCTCTCTTCCAGTATTGAAAGATTGACTCCTGCCTCCAATCACCTCATTATGTCAGCCTTTATTGAACACTTGTTAAATTTTCAAGCACCTTCATGATTTCTCCCAAATTTACCCCTCATGCTTGGGACAAGCTCCCTGTAAACATCTGAAAACTAACTCATTATCCCCCTTCAGAATCCTCCTTTTCAGTGAGGCCTACAAAAACATTGACAACAGTTAGACTGTTGGAGTGCTGAGACCACAGCGTACCAGTCTGACCATTTTGTCTCATTGCTTCCTTATACTTCCCCATTGGTCTGTTTATATCTATCTTTTTTCTCTTGTCTTATACTTGGACTGTAAACTCTTGGGGCAGGGAGTGTCTTTTTGTTCCATGTTTGTACAGTGCCTAGCACAATGGGGTCCTGGTTCATGACTGGAGCCCTTACCTGCTATAATACAAATAATAATAATGCCAGCCTTCCATTACCATGGAAACTGCCCCTCTGCACACAGCCCTTTACCAAACTAATTTCTCCAAACACCACTAATTACTACACCAAATATCCACAACTATGAGTGTTGAGGGGGGGGGAAATAATCTGGTAAAGGGGTGTGCCCAGATCAAAGGGCAGGGACAAAGGAAAGCCTACAGTTCAGTGACTTTCAATGGGACTTAGGCGCTTTTGAAAATTCTAACCAGCGAGCTTGCCTAAGAGATAGCTAAAGCAATATACCTGTCTAGAGAAGCGCATACTTAAAGGATCTCAACACTGAGGAGGATGAGGAATTTTAAGGTGTTCCAAGAGAGTGTAACTAGAAGTAATGACATCAAATTAGACAACAGGAAAATTATGACTATTGGGAATAATTTCCTAACTGAAGTCCAGTGCACTGTGGAATAGTTCATAAGGGTAGTTCCATTGCTTGAGTTATTTAAATAGGACTGGATAAAAAGCACTCAAGAATGTTCCTTCCAATTTAATCTTCCAATGGCAGTGGGAGCCACAGGATGACCGAAGAGAAATTAGGCATCAAATATAGCTATAATTAAAGTAATTAATAATTAGTTATTCAAATGATCTTGTCTATATTTAGGGTTTAAGAACTAGAAAGAAGTCTGTATAAAATTAAATGTAATTTGAAAATTCTTTAAAATTTAATATTTACCTTAGCAACATGCAATTTCTATAGCATACTCCAAAACTGTCCACCACATAAACACAAAGGGTACAGTCCAATTCCCACTGCAGTCAATGGAAGCCTTCCCATCAATTTCAAAGCAAGTTCAATCAAACCTTTAATGTTGGATTCTGCCCTCTAATACAGTACCTAAGAAGCACTGTCGTGTATCTTGAAAAATCAGTAACTGTGCCTTATCCAAGTGCACAGCTGCTGATATTCAAAGTTAAGCAATGAGTGTGGCTCACTGGAGGAAAGGATTGAGACAAAAAGAGACAACACTGTACATAGGCTTTAGAGGGTTGTATAGACAGACTCAAGACTCCAGGTAGAGCCTCTCTTTGATTAAGTTTAAAATACAGAACTAAAACTTACCCCAAACCCAGTAGCTAAAGGTCGTGAAGCTGATGTGCCTGGAATTTTGGCTGTTATCTTGGTAAAAAAAAAACCAAACAAACCATAATTAATCCAAATGTGATTACTCAGTCTTTTTTACATTGGTTAATAAAACAAGTTCACAGAAATGATCATGCATTAAAAAAAGTACAAAAAGTTCTATAGTGATGTCTCTATGTTCAGTTTTATTTGTATAAATCATAGCTCCCTCTTTAAAATACACCTCTACCCCGATATAACGCGACCCGATATAACACGAATTCGGATATAACGCGTTAAAGCAGTACTCCGGGGGGGGCAGGGCTGCGCACTCCGGTGATCAAAGCAAGTTCGATATAACGCGGTTTCACCTATAACACGGTAAGATTTTTTGGCTCCCGAGGACAGCGTTATATCGAGGTAGAGGTGTATGTACCTTTCTGGTGATTAAATTGCACATGATTCTTAATGGTTTCAGCTCTTGTTTAGAAGCACACAGTCCTTACAACAGAATATAAATTTCAAAAGTAGGGTCTACATGTCAATTTTCCATTTATTTTGAAAAAGGATATAAGAGTTTTGAAGTCATAACTAAATAAAAGTAACCAACATTATTTGAATAAAATTAAATTGCAACAACACTCCAGAGTTTGGTATATTATACTCCATTCCACCCTTGAGGTATGTTAAGGCCAACTTCCTTCTGAATGGATGCATTACGTGGGGACTCTTTAGAATCTGTCATTTCATTCTAATCAATATCTGGCTCATTTTATCATATAGGAATAAGGCAGTAGTACTTAGTGGTCAGGCCACTCTGCCATGTCCCTTTTAAGGATTTGAAGGATCCAACATAAAGACCTAGATGGGATATGTAGAGGAAGCGGTCCTGGGAATGAACAATGCCTGGAAGGAAATCCTGTCATTGTATCTTTAAGGGCCTGGGGCAGGATCCTTGCAGAGAGGGCGGAGCAAGGCTCCACCATTCCCCCACCAATTGGGAATGAGCTGGGAGAAGGGGACCAGCATAAATGCTGTCTCCTCTGTCATCTCAGGGAGCTGCCTGCAAACACTGAAGAGAGTAAGAAGGCTGCCTGCTGGATCCTGCTAGCATCCGGATTAACTGATGAAAAAGGGGCCAGTTGAGGCAGAAGCTGGCTAAGGCCCTACAGCTGGCTAAATTATAACCCAGCCCCAAGAAAGAGGTCTGAGGCTCTTGCTATGAGGAGACTGACTGGCTGGCTGTTTCATTAATGTATACCCGCCGCCCCAGGAGGGACTGTCTGAAGCATAACCTCAGCTCCAGGAGGAGGTCTCCTGAAATGGGACAAAGAGCTGACGAGGAGTCTTATAAGGAGCCAGAACAAGGTGACTTTTGTTAGTTCCGCCAGGTAAGTCACACTTTGTAGAAACTTAATAAATCAGACCTCACAGAGGGGTGCATGCTCTTGAGTCAATGTAAATCTAGTAATTGATTGAAAGAACCCAAGGAGGAAGGCACATAGGGGTGTGTTGGAGAGGCTCACCCCCTGACAGATAAACATAAGAACAGCCAAACTGGGTCAGACCAAAGCCCAGTATCCTGTCTTCCGACAGTGGCAAATGCCAGGTTCCCCAGAGGGAATGAACAGAACAGGTAATCATCAAGTGATCCATCCGCTGTCGCCCGTTCCCAGCTTCTGGCAAACAGAGGCTAGGGATACCATTCCTTCCCATCCTGGCTAATAGTTATTGATGGACCTATCCTCCATTAATTTATTTAATTCTTTTTTGAACCCTGTTAGTCTTGGCCTTCACAACATCCTCTGGCAAAGGTTCCACAGGCTGACTTTTCCCCATCCAAATATTTAAGAAATAATCATGTATAAGAACCATACTTACTATATGGTGGAAGTTTAAAATCTCATGCTGTAGCTCTAATAATTTTGGCCTTGTATCTCACATAAATGGCTAAACATTCTATCATCGTTTTAGAAATGCACTGAGATGGAGACTTGCCCAAAGGCAGTGGGTGGCAGAGCCAAGATTAGAATCCAGATCTCCTGAGAATGTTTAGAAATATTGCTATATATTTTAAAATTTACTTACTGGGGGTCTTCTACCATGACTAGTTCTCACAGCCTGCTGAAAAGCTGTGTCATTTTCTAAATCCTGAAACAAAACAAAAATGTAAGAACTATCCAAAGATGACAAATAAAAATAAGTAATTTGCTCCTACAGTGCTTTATTATTGCCTGGGAGATGAGGAATAGGAGAGGGAGTGAGGGGAGGTACTGAGACTTGGCTGGTGGGCGGGGGGGAGGGCAAGCCAGTTCCAGGCTGGAAAGGGACCTTGGGGGTTTCTATCTGCTCCCAGGCCTGATTTTGGGCCCTGCAGCAGTCCCTTCAGCCCCTCTTGGTCCCACCCTCACCTCTGCCTCCCCTTCATCCCCACCAGGCATGCACAAGTATATGTGAGGGTGGAGCCCCCACAATATTTCCACTGTGGGGGACTAGCCCCAGTGTTCGGATGCCCTTGGATATTGCCAAATTACAGTTTGTAGTGTCAATAAGCTATGATTATACCACTTAAAGAACTTTTAGTTTACACAGAACAATGTCAAAACAGAGTAACCACTGAAGAATAGTAAAACATTGGGAGGAAATTGAGCTTGATTTATAATAGTTAGTAGTTACCATACACAGCATTTTTATTTCTGTCTAAAGGGCTGTACAGGCACTAATTTGAATGCTTAACTGATCCTAGTGTGCATCTCATATTGCTATTCCATAAACATATATTGGGTATTCCACTATTTATATATTTAAACATGCAGGATGTAGTATAAATCTTACTAGCTTATGGAAGAGGACATAGTATATTGAAAATACACTATAATGATCAATGAACTAGATGACCTATTGTGTCTTTTTCCGGCTCCACTCCAGCTCCAGGCAAAAACCTGCAGCTCCACTGCTCCAGAGCTGCTCCACGCTCCAGCTCCGGGCTCTGCTCCAAAGCCCTATTTTACATCACTTATGAAATCATGGAATCATAGAAATATATAGGTACATGTGGTGAGGGACAGCTTTAGGGCAAAAGAAATGAGTTCTAGAATACTGGACCTAAGAAGTTCAAGTAGTTCAACACTGAATAGAAGCTATTAACTGAATGCTTAGTCTGCATTCTTATTTAATTGGGTTAAAATGATTTTATGCAACAGTAGTTTTCCAAATATAATTTTATTTTGATAAATTAGTGATTTTATTCAATTTAATATGTAAATTTGATTCAAAGAAAATCACAATGTAGTCCCATTGAAGGTGATGTCAAAACTCCCATAGAATTCAATGGGGCTAGGATTTCACCCCAGATGCCAAAACAAAAATCTACTAAACCTCTGCTTTTAAACAGTTACAATTTAATATTTCATAAATTCTAATCTTCACAGCAAATAGACACTGGTGCATAACAAAACTATCTCAGAATGGAAAACCAGCAATGAAATTATAACCACTCAAAATGATCTCTGAGACTTTTGATAAATCTTGATGGATGGGTGGAGGAAAACTAACTTCAAAGCAGCAATGCTTGTTGGTTTGTTTCTGATCATATCTAAAGCACTATCAGAATGCCAACTCCAGTGAAGATTGCCTTATATCATACACATATATAACTGAGAAATGGTAAGTAGTTTTACCTCTGTGTCAAAGGTGGGGTTATAGTCATTGTAGCCAGAATAAAGATCATCTTCATCTGCTTTAGGTGCCAGGTGGACATTTTGCATCATTTTTACCTGAGAAACATTAATTATGCCAAATATTTTCTCAGCATAAGTCGCCTTACAATTGTAAAATTATGCATAGTACTAAGCTTTTTTCGTTCACAAGAACTAAAACTTCTGACCTAATCCAAACCTCACTGAAATCGAACCCTGACTTCAGCGGGTTTCAAATTAAACCCTGACAAAAAGCTTCAACACAGACTTAAAGGGACACCGTCCCCTTGAACTCTAGTCTGTCTGACAAAGTAACCAGCCCCGCTGCAGTCAAAGAGCTTCTGAGCAGATTTGAAGTACCCGGGGTAAGGAGAAGGGACTAACCACTGGCCCGATGCTCTAGCTAGTCTGGCCATGCCTGTATCTAGGGCGGAGAGACAGAACTGAAGCTCGCACACGCCTGTCTCGGAACGCTCGCCCCTCGCCAGCGCCACACAATGCTGGACAGAGAGCCGCGGGCTGGTGGAGCCCCCGCCCCTACCCCAGCCGGAGGGCGAGGGGCCCCACGGCGGTACGTCGCGTACAGACACCGCGGGAGACATGGGCTCCTTCCCAAAGAGCCAGGGCGACTGACCACGGCACGGGGAGGGGAAGGAAACCGTTAGACTGTAACGGCGCGAGGCGCCGTTCGCCCCCGGTTCCCCAGTACGGCCCCCGCCCAAAGCCCGCTCCGCAGCTGCTCCTGCATCGACTCCAGCCCAGTTATCTTCCCGCTCCGCCCTCTACCTTGTCCGGGAGCCCGCCCTGCGGCCCCGCTAGCAGGGGAGCCGTTAACAGGCCCGCACCGCACGGGCTCCGGGCAGTGGTCGCTCACACGATCCCATCCCATAATACACCGCGGCGAGCGGAGCGGGAGGGAGCAGTGCGTCCGGTTGCTAGGAGACGAGAGCGACTCGTGCGGGCCCAGGTCCTTGTTGCGTCAGAAACAGCCTCCTGCGAGGCTCTGCACTTGCTGAACGTGCGCCAGCGATTGGCGCATGCTCAGTAGCAAGTCTGGAAGCCGTGGCTCACACTCTGCCCTGACCCTCAGTTTCTGCTCCCTGAGCGAAGGGCGGGAGAAGAGCGAGGCGAAAGGTCCACGGGGTTTGTGCTGCTCCGCGGCGCCCTATACAGGGCTGTGCTGTTAGAGGCCTCCTCTACCCCAGTGCCCCGGGCTCTAGCTGTGCCACGTGCGTCAGGGAAGCTGTAGATACCTGCCTGCTGGAGACTTGATTCTGAGGCAGGTCTTCCTTTTCCCTGCTAGGGTAGGCAGGTTCAGACGTGAAACCCAGTCAGTTTCAGCAAAGCCAACCTCCGCCCCAAAACACACCAAACAGGCAACCTTGGCCTTGCTGAATGTGGAACAGAGAAAGGTGGAGGGAGCAACGCGCACAAAAAGGAGACGCTCCTTCATGACCCACAGTTCGCAAAGAAAAAGATTTGGAGGTGGGGGGTGAATAATCAGCTGCACATGAGCGCCCAGTGCCAGGCTGTGGCCAAGAGAGCTAATGCAATCCTGGGATGCATAAATGGGAATCTCGAGTAAGAGTCAAGAGATTATGTTTACTTCTGTATTTGACACTGGTGCAATTGCTGCTGGAATACTATGGCCAGTACTGGTGCCCAAAACTAAAGAATGATGTTGCTAAGTTGTAGAGGGCTCAGAGAAAAGCCACAAGAATGATTAGAGAGTTAGAAAACTTGGCTTTAAGTGATTGACTCAAGGAGCAAAATGTATTTAGTTTAACAAAGAGAAGGTTAAGGACTGACTTGATTAGTCTACAATTACCTAAATGGGGAACAAATATCTAATCTATCAGAGAAAGGTATATCACAATCCAATGACTGGAAATTGAAGCTAAACAAATTCAGACCAGAAATAAGGCATACATTTGTAATGGGGAGAATAATTAACCATTGGAATAATTTCTCAAGGGTCATGGTGGATTCTCCATCACTGACAATTTTTAAATCAAGATTGGATGATTTGGGGGGATTTCTATGACCTGTGTTATACAGGAGGTCAGACTAGATGATCACAATGGTCCCTTCTGGCCTTGGAATCTATGAATCAATGGGAAAAAAGATTAGTGAAAACTTTTAGGCCCTGATCCTTCAAGAGAACTGTGTGGACCACTGGGATAGATCAGGCACCTAAATATTTTGGTTGATGTAGGTTGTCTATTCCTGTTTGATCCTTCTAGAATTCTGTGTAGCATCCATCATCATACCATCTGAGACACCAATCCTTCAAACACTTATGCATGTTCCTAACGTTATGCATGACCTATTGAGGTCCCTTCCAGTCCCACGATTCTATGATTCTATGTGAGTACTTTATGGGTTACGTTAAGCATGTTTACAAATTGTAGCCTATGTGCTTACCAAGGGGCAGCATAGTCTTCTGCTCATCTTTCCTCATCCTTTAGACCAGAAAATTAGGACGGATGATGGTAATCCTGTCAGAATATGCTTCCCCGCACTCACCTTTCCTCATCACCTGGTCCAGGATAGCAAATTCTGACAGATGCCCATCTGTCGGTATTTGCTACAATTGTACCTGAGAAGAAAGATAAGCATTTTGATAGGGAGGCAAAAAATGAGATGCCCTCAATATGGGAAGTGTTTTCTGACTCCCGCTCTCAGCATCCTGCCAATCATACAGTGCAGAGGCTGGAGTCCCGGACGATCTAATCTTGACTGCCCACTGAGAAAAGTTTGTCTGCTTTATTGGGAGTGATGAGCATTGCATGCTTAGCGTGTGTATTATGTTTTTGGTAATTCTTAATAAATGGAGGTTAAGGATATTACTGTGTAAGGTTCTTTCACTGGTAAAAGGCCCTTCAAACCTGCAGAAGATTATGCCCTGAGTCCTAGGAATTGGGTAAGGGTGGCCCTAAGCTCTAGGAACTGAGTACGGGTAGTTTCCTTTCGCCCTGAGCCCTAGGAACTGGGTAAGGGTTGGGGTTCTTAAATTAACTGGGTTATGCCTTGAGCCCATGGAAAGGTAAAGGTGGGGTGCCCTAGAGTGTGAGGGTAACACATTCTGGAAACTCTTTTGCTATGTTGCTCTATATTGCATATAATAGAAAGTCATAACATTTATAACTTGTTTATTATTTGTATTGCCATAGTGACTAGGAGCCCTAGTCATGGACCAGAACCGCATTTTGGTAGGCATTGTACAAATACAGAGAGATGGTCCCGAGCCTACACCAAAGATTTTGCAATCTAAAGCCAGGTCTAAATTAGAAAGTTTTCCTGGTAGAACATTACCGACATTTCTATGTCAGTGGAGCACGTGCACACTTAGCAGCCTTTGTTGCTATGCTTCCTCACTGTCAGAGGTTCTGTCAGCAAAAGATGTGGTGCAGTATGTTTACGTATCCTAGTGTACCCAATACCACCTGTGACGAGTTGGATCACAGAAACCCCCTTGGGAGCTGCCACCCGATGTGCCAAGACTACTTCTATCCCTGTTTTCCCTGCCAGCTCAGGACTCCAGCACCCTGTCTTGCTGAGCCAGTCACTCCCGTCTGCTCCAACAAAGACCCAGGGTCTGAATTACTTGCCCCAAAGCTGCAGGTTTACCTGAAAACAGCTCACAGAAATGTGCTTGTCTTTAGCACTCAGATGCCCAACTCCCAATGGGGTCTAAACCCAAATAAATCCGTTTTACCCTGTATAAAGCTTATGCAGGGTAAACTCATAAATTGTTCACCCTCTATAACACTGATAGAGAGAGATGCACAGCTGTTTGCTCCCCCAGGTATTAATACATACTCTGAGTTAATTAATAAGTATAAAGTGATTTTATTAAATACAGAAAGTAAGATTTAAGTGGTTCCAAGTAGTAACAGACAGAACAAAGTAAGTCACCAAGCAAAATAAAATAAAATGCGCAAATCTATGTCTAATCAAACTAAATACAGATAATCTCACCCTTAGAGATGCTTCATTAAGATTTTTCCTCAGACTGGACACCTTTCAGGCCTGGGCACAATTCTTTCCCCTGGTACAGCTCTTGTTCCAGCTTAGGTGGTAGCTAGGGGATTCTTCATGATGGCTCTCCTCCCTCTGTTCTGTTCCACCCCTTTATATATCTTTTGCATAAGGCGGGAATCCTTTGTCTGTCTGGGTTTCCACCCCCCCTCACTGGAAAAGCTCCAGGTTAAAGATGGATTTCAGTTCAGATGACATGATCACATGTCACTGCAAGACTTCAATACCCACTTGCCAGCACACACATATACAGAAAGACTCACAGGTAAACACAGCCATCTGTAGACAATGGTCCTGGTTAATGGGAGTCATCAAGATTCCAAACCACCATTAATGGCCCACACTTTGCATAATTACAATAGGCCCTCAGAGTTATATTTTATATTTCTAGTTTTAGATATAAGAGTAGTACATTTATACAAATAGGATGATCACACTCAGTAAATTATAAGTTTTGTAATGATACCTTACAAGAGACCTTTTGCATGAAGCATATCCCAGTTACATTATATTCACTTATTATCATATTTTTATAAAACCATATAGACTGCACAACATCACACCACCATCCGGTCCACAGCTTTGTGGGAAATTTTTGCAGTTCATTGTGGAATACCAGCAATACATTCAGGAAATTATGGGAGCTCGGGGTTAAATTCCTGCAATTCCCTTTCTTCCAGCCCATAACTTTTGTGACTTTTTAAAAATTTGCACAGTTCTTTGTGCTGCTCTTTCAGTGTCTGCTATCTTGCCATCCAGGATCACCTTGCACAGATTGGAGTTATTGTGTTTGTTTTAAAGACAGGTCTCATGATCCTTCTATATTTGCAGAGCTTCAATGACTGCCACAGTAGCTGGTGATGCTGTGATGAAGATGAGACAAACAAGAAGGAAGAATGGATGATGCAGAAAGTGCATAAAAATTGCAAGGTGCTGCCGGCATTCGCTGACCAGCTCCACGTGGTCGAGTGGCACTTCTGGGCCCATGAAATGAGGATGAAGTGGTGGGGCTATATTGTGAGGCAGATCTGAGATGAGCAGTAGTTGCTGTAGAACTTTCAAATACAAAGGCCACTTTTCTGGGGGTTTTTTGTTTAGCTCGCCTTAGCCCTCCATTGCAGCGACATCAGAATGAGAGCTGCTTTGACCGTAGAAAAGAGGGTGGTGATTGTGCTCTAGAAGTTTGCAATCCCAGGCTGTTATCAGTCCATGGTGGGGGCGGTTGTCATCCAGGTGTACGTGGCTATTAAGCGTGTCCTGCTGCATAGTATTGTGATTCTGGGCAATGTGCAGGAAATAATAAAGGGACTTGAAGCAATGGACTTCCTGAACTGTGGTGGGGTAATAGACTACATAGCCTGATTCTGCTGCCTGCTCCCCCCGACCTTAGTGCTTAGTACATAAACAGGAAGGGGTACTTGTGCCTGGTTATGCAAGCACTTGTATATTACCGGAGGGTGTTTCACTGACATTAATGATGGCTGGTCAGGGAAGACTCATGACGCTCACATCTTTAGGAATACAGGACTTTTTGAAAAGATGTAAGCAGGGATACTTATCCTGTACCAGCACAATCACATTAGCACTGCTGGAATGCTGTGACATTCTCCAGAGTACAATCTGGACTGCTGGACAGCTGTGTTCCCTCAATTCTCCAAGCCGGGCTGCCTTTTACACTGCTTTGCTTTGAGAGAACCTCTCCTGGCCTGCTCACAGGCAGTCTCTAGTATGTAAATTACTCCCAGCTGAGTTATAGGAATGTTCCTAGCCAGCCATTCCAGAATTATATTGCAGAACAATACCAGCAAATTCTCAGTACCAGACTT